AATGCTATTTCTGCTTTATATCGTCCAAAACTGCTCAATAAATAGTAAATTTAAATTTCAGTTATAGGGGGATTTTATTTGTACTGCCTTTATAAAGAATACCTTCCCTTTTATAACACTGGTTTTCAAGTCTTCAGCTCTAGAAACAATATTAGTGTTTCCACTTTGTTATAAACATTCTAATTTTGAAACATTAATAAAAATAATCTTAATACCTTAATATTAACTTTTGCTCTAAAATAATTTAATAGCAATAGATTTTTGCAAAGATTTGTGTTCCAAGTGTTAAGTAATCCTTGCTAAACTATTTAATAGATTTGCTAGAAAAAGCTTGTGATTGAGTGCTATGTATGCTTGCCTTTTTGCTTCCACCTAGAATCCAGGGCCATTACTTTCTGTAACCATTTCAGTGAGCTGCCATAGTTTTCAGTCTGTACTGTCACCTGATCCAAGCATGCGCCAAAATACCCACCGTTTCTGGCTACTGTCTGCTGAATCTGCTTTGCAAACCCTTAGTTCTTTAAGCTTTTGCTTTAGCCAAAAACAAAACAACAGACACCATTTTGGAGTGTACTGGACACATGCCATCCTGCTTTTTTTTACTCCTCTAATTGTTTATGTAAATCCTTAGCTTTACTAAACTTGTAAATGCTACAATGGCATCCCTGTGTGGAATTGTGTGGCTCATGTGTCAAAAAGGCTGCTTGTGAAAATATTTGTCAGAAAAATATGAATGCTACACATTGCACTGCATTCAGTGTTTTGTATCAATTATTATTGCAACATTGTTGTGTCTGACTTCAATTCTATTTTACTATGCAAAGGTAAGTTCATGTATACTGTGTGCATATACAGTGTGGGTGGGTGCACGCACGCACTCATGCACACATGCGTATATCAACTCTCTTGGTTCACATGTGGCCTCTTGGGGAAAAATATAGTAAACCCTTTTACCTTAAACTTTCTTACACAAAAAGTCTATGTATTTATAAACTGTTTGCTGTTTTTAATCTCTTAATCCTTTTAGGCCTTCATTAATCTTTCACCATGCTAATTGGCTGGGTTTTCCTACTGAAAGCAATGGGGCAGGAGAAACACTTTTTCTTAAATGAAAATTTAGTCAGATACATTTTATTACAGTGGGTGAATATTTTTATCTTATTTCTGACGGTGACTGGAATTTGGGGAAAGTATCGGGGGTTAAATGTGGGTTGAGCATCCCATAACTAATACATCCTCTCCTTCAGTGTACAGTGTTATAGAGTTAGCCGAAGTGAGCAAATTATTATAATGCAATCTTCCTTGGAAGCTGACTCCTAAACTTTGTGATCTAAATACACAAATTCTTAGCTGGGGAAAATAATATGTAGAAACAAAGTTGGGACCCGTCACAGTTATTTTTGCCCTGCCTATTTCTCTTTGACTACTTCCTTCTTTTTCAGTTTTACTTCTCTCATCTGTGTTTCTTTGTAACCTTATTGCTTGGATTATTTATTGCTAGTTTTTTTTCTCAGCAAAATATGTCCCCCATCCCCACCCCCATATTCATTTCTTTCCCCTCCTCATTCTCTATTTCCTGTACATATATCTCCATGTTTCCCTTTACATGTTTTTGTCTCAGTAACTGACTACACAGGGAAATGGATTGTGCTAGTAAAAGCTGGTTTCCTTTTGTGTGAAACTCATATTAGGATCATGAGTCTGGTCACTTTGTTTCTGCCCCTGCAAAGTGAAAATACTGTTTTTAAAATTATTTTAACTCGTTATCTGTGGTCCAGTCTAACTGATTGGAACTGCAGTAAAGTAGCTAAATAGCCACACACACAAGTGTTTTGCATATGCTGGCTTTTCTGTTGTTACATTAGTATATTTAGCTGTGATAGATATACTCATTAATAATTATTTGTCTACGATTAGTTTTAGGTAGAGAAATATTCTTAATATTAACTCATTTTGGATCTCACTTTGTTGTAAATCCCCTTCCAGCCATGGAGAAGCAGAGGTGGCACATTTAGATTATGTCTTGTTACTTAAAGACTTTGCCTCTACTTTGGCTGGTATAGTACTCAGCCTAAACTAGTCTATGAAGGAGCTGTCTATAATATTTCCAGCCTCTGACTGCTAAAAAGTATGGGACCTAGTTTGAGGATTTGACTGCAGATCCTGTATGAGACGTATCTCCTGTGTTTAAAATTCAGCATCAACTGATTTTTCCCATCAGTGAAAACATAACATAGATTAAATTGTTGTCACTAAAAATGTACAAGATTATTCACTGTAATCATTAAAAAAATACAATGTGATGCATTGTAATTTGAGTTTTTCTCAGTAAACATAGTGAAATGTTATGAAATGTGGCATGTAATTGTCAGGAAGTCCCAAATGTGTTCTGTTTATAAATTGTTGTGGGGAACTCTTCTGAAATGTTTTTATATGCTTTAAACAAACAAAAAAATCTCCACCCCTTCACTCCCTTCTACCCCCCCCCCATCTTTGCTTATAAGATTTCCCTGAGGAGAATGTTTACAGACCTGTTTCAGTACTATGACTACAAGTGGCAAAAATCTGCAATTGTTGGAGAATATAATGGTAAAATCCTCAGCAGAATGCAGTATATTTTTTTTCCAAACTATACTCTGCTAAGCTTTTGATTAATAGAAGAAAAATAATTACACATTAATTTGCTTTACAAGTGTAGATGGCAAATTCCGAACCCAAAGTTACAGTAAGTTTAGTTACATACATCATCTCAGCCTTGTGGTACTTTTGGCTTGACTCGGAGATTTCCAAGCATCTAATAATTGCCCTTTTCACTTTACTGCACAAGCATGAGCTTAACAAAATCCATATATTCACGTGTACCTTCCTTCTCCTCCTCCCCACTGCCTCAAATAAGACACGCCTTTCTGGGGAGAAGGCAGAATAAAGGGGGAAATAGATTTTTTCCAGAGTTATGGCTGCATGCAGTAGAGCCACAGCCTAATTTTCAACTCACTCGCCCTCCCTTTCTTGCTAGCCAAACACTACAGTTTTAACCCTTTCATACCTGAATTGTCAGCAGTTCTTGGCTGCTCAACTGTAGCTGCTGCTGCTGCTGAAGACGACTTCATGGGTGAATCTAGAATTTTGAAAAGAGGTAAAACAGTCTTCAGGGCTATGAAATAGGTGTAGTTAACATAGCAAAACTGCTGAAAAAATATGGCTTAATTAGGAGTGGGTTGTTAACGCTGCAGGATCAGGAGCAGGAACCAGATAGATCGGGATAGGCAACACTCCGCACAGGTGTCAGAGCATGGCATGCAAAGGCATATTGCTTGGCATGCACGCTTGGGGGCAGACGGTCGGGAAGGGGCCAGAGCTGTGCTGCCACAACAAGGATCAGACCCCTCACAGCTCTCCTACTGTCCATCTCTGGCACGTCAATATCTTAAAAGTCAAGGTTGCCGGAGTTTTTTGACACTTCCTAAAAATGTTGTCAATGCCTGAGGTAGATTATAATGAGCCATTAAGTGAATTGATCCCCTCCACCCTGCCTAAATAGAAATGCTACTGCTACTGCTGGGCAGTTGATTTTAAAACTTTGGATGGAGCAGGAATCAAAGAAGGGTTTGACTTGACTGCTGTACCCCCTGTACCCCCACCCCTGCCGGATTCTGCCTGTTTCCATGCAACTGTTGGAGGGGAAGAGTAGGTAAAGCAGTAGCCATCTTACAGAATCTCATTGCTTCTGTTCTGGGTAGAAATGTCAGTCTCCCTACCTAAGGTGTGCATGCTAATTTTGGAAGGCTAATTTTGGGGGGAAAGATGTTTCTGTGTTTATGCAAGTAAATATGGCATTTGTGTATGATGTCTGTGTATACATCATACTATGCTTAAAAGTATTTGTCTTAACAGTTCCAAATATGCCTTAGTTTTCTTAATTAGCATTTTAAAACCTTGTCTTCCAAGGTCTGCCCAAAATTCTGTTGATTTCAGTGGGATTTTGTGACCATGAGGTCACTGCCATGAGTCCACCTACACAAATTCCTTTGTAGCATCTGGTTGCCTCCAGGGGGATAAATCCTGTTTTATTTGCCAATATCATTTAAATAATTTTTATTTATATATGCTGCAGCTGACCACTCTTGAAAAAACAGAGTAGTGTTTCAAACCCACCACACTATTTAGTTTGTGAAGAATGTGCCAGATTAGTGTCTTAAATTTTGTATATATGTATATGTATGTATGTTATTTTGCTATTTAAAAGAATTGGATAAAAGCATTTTAGTAGCATTACTGAATTTATGAATTTGTAATATTAGTAGAAGTATATTGTGTTGTATTTTGTAATGGTTTTGCTTTATGTTAAGCAATGCATTTAATATGGTGAATAATGCACTTTTAAAAACTATTATCACGTTTTGTATGATATTGGAATTGAAGGGAAAAGTGCTAATGAATAGAAATAGACATCACTTTATTTAATACTTTTTAAAATTTAGTAGCTTAACACTTAAAATGGTTTGAATTCACACTTTTGCTTTGGTTCTGAAAATGGGATGAGGTAAACTATCAAAGTTGTTACATACTTCTTAACACAAAAATGTAGTTAACAGGAGAAAAAAGCTATTACTGGAAGATTTCACAGCAGCTTAAAATAAGTGATACTCAATCTTCATCGCTTTATGCGAATGAGGTACAATCCTCAGGCTTTTGGCTGCCCAACAGCATGACTCTCAAGTAGATAAAATTTTGGAACAACAGCAAGAACACAAGTAATTTGACAAAACCTGTTTAACTGGTGATTGATAAGGAACTAAATGAACCAGCTATGATGGCTTTTGATCAATAACCAAAATATAAATCCAAGTAAATAAAGAAATCATTTCAAAATGTGAGGAATACAACAGTAAAATTTAAAATTAAAAAAACACTTAATAGATTGTGTCTATTATACTTCAATTACATGCTGCTTGATGGTAACTACAGCTTAGTCAACTGATTTATACTTTGTCTTTCAGATGAACCAGAGACACGAGATGCATGGTGGGCAGAAATCAGACAAGAGATAAAATCCCATGCCAAGGCATTGGGTTGTCACGCTGTAGTGGGCTACAGTGAATCAACTAGCATTTGGTAAATCGCAATGATGATTTGATTTTCCTTATGCCATGAAATAATTCCAGCTTCATTGGATTAAAAATAGTAAAAGAGCTCTAAATAAGTGGATGTTGATACTATAGCATACTAGCCTTGGAGAGTTTGATAAATCAGCTTTTTTAGGATTCACAGTTTAGGTATATAGCTGTGATATTTCTTGCTTTTCAAAATGAACTCAATGACTATTGTAATTATTCTTTATGCTAACAGACTTCGCCTGTACAAGTTTGCTTTTAGCACTATTAACATTAGCTGGTTTACTTTAAAATGCACTAAACCTTATCTGCTGGAATTCTTACAGAGTTTATAAAAATATATTTTATAGTGCAACTGTCCTTGTTAATGAATGACTGACAGTTAAATACTACTAAAATAGTAAGCTTGAAGACATGGAAGCAGGAGTTGAGCTGGCATTGTGCCTTTCTAGAGCATGGTATACTGTAATGTTCCTGTTATAGATCTCCTGGGAAAGTGGTTGCCTTAGCTTCTACTTTCCAGTGCTACACAGAAAAAATATGGTCAACATTTTGAACAAAATTTTCCCCTCCTTTGCCCCTATAAATGGTTTTTCTCTCACTCTGTCTAACATTACCCAAAAGAGCAAAGATATAAGGCCTTTCAGAAGTTGAATCTCCGGAAGAAGTTAAGTTCCCCTATTCTGGTGCCAACCTCCTGGAGTTTAGGGACCAAAAATGGAGGAGTGCTGTCCACTGTAAAGGATGACTGCTTACAGCCAGCTCACCTAGAAGGCAAAAAACTTGTGGCTTATCCAACAAAATATCACTCCTCTTCTCAATTTAAGTGCTTCACTAGAAGCTTTGGAGGGGAATATTACGAAATCTTCCATCTATGTCCAGTTTTCCTAGCCTAAAGCAGTTCATGTTTCCAATTCCAGGAAGCAGCCTGTACGGAATTCTTAATGTGGACAAAACACCAAGATATCCAAATATAATTTATCAAGGAGCAAGTAGAAGATGCTCTCACTTTCCTTCAGAGAGAAATATATAATTGGCACCAAACTAATACTTTTGAAAGAGAGAAAACCATCAGATATGTGAACCTTATAGGTTGAAGAACCTACATAAATTCTATAGTAATTTAAAAATTAATTACTCTTGTGTCTGAGCCTGCCTCACCATCCAACTTCAAGAATACTGTTGATAATACTAATTCAGACAATATTGCAGCAGTATCCTCTATAAACAAAAGGAACTGGGAGTAGAGCATTGATTGAATTGGTTCGAATGCTGTTCAGTGTGACATACGGATGATGATCTGTGTGAAAGGGTCTCTGTGTAGGAACTGATTAAGCCAAAGAAACAAAGGGCAAGTGAATTCTTGATGTGGGGGGGTTTCAATCAGCTAGTTAGGAAGCGAGGCTGACCTAAAAGATGGAGGCTTTCACCTACTGAGAAGAATTGTGCCAGGAGTTTGATTTTTATATCACTAAAGAAGAGCATAAAAGATGCTCTTATAAGAAGCTTTCTTGTTTTGATAATTTTCAGTGGAAAAAAATTGATCATTGGGAAGGAAGTTTTAGGGTAAACACAGCATTTTTTTTTACCTGTTCTAGTTAGTATTATTACAGTTTGTTTTCTTTTTAAGAATCCTAAATATGGACGTATGCCTTCATCATCTTTCAGTTATTTGTAATGTTTGATACCCGCTCCCGCCTTCCCTTTCCACCCCCCAGTATGTTCATATAGCAGGGTTTGTGATAAATCAGTGTTCTGACATTAGCTTCAGTCCCCTTGGTCTATTGTTTTTTCCAGTGTGGAGTTGTAGGATGGTTTTACAAAATCTGAGGTTGCCTGCTTGATTCATCTTTCTCCTTCCCAGCTCTTATGTTGACTTTCCAAATAACTTGTCTCAGTCATATTTATAGTTATTATCTCTGGACAAAAAATATTCTCCATAAGGGAGTTGTTGTGTATTTTATATGGATACAGTGGTTCCTAGACTTTCCTATGGGTGCTCCATAGTTCTCTAGAATGAATCCTATCCGCTTGATCCCTCCCTAGTGACCTGAAAGAAAAAGTAGTGGCATGTGGGAAGATTATGCCCTTAAAGAACCAAACCAGACAGGAAATCAGTCTCTGTTTACAGTTACTCTGATAAGCTACAAAAGAAACAAGAAAATCGAGGCTTACTTCACAACATGGGTAAAAGGAACAGGATGCGTTTCAATACAGACCAGTGCAGGGTGCTGCACTTGGGTAGTAGGAACCAGCAGCACACTTATACGATGGGGAACTCCCTACTTGAGAGCATGGAGGCGGAAAGGGATCTTGGTGTCATTATTGACTCCAAGATGAACACGGGCCGACAATGCGAGGTCATGGTTGGCAGGGCTAACCGGACCTTGTCGTGCATCCACAGGTGCATCTCGAGTAGAGCCAGGGAGGTGATCCTCCCCCTCTATGCGAGGCTGGTCAGGCCGCAGCTGGAGTATTGTGTCCAGTTCTGTGCGCCCCATTTCAGGAGGGATGTGGACAACATGGAGAGGGTCCAGAGGAGGGCCACCCGCATGATTCGGGGACAGCAGGGCAGACCCTACAGTGAGAGACTGCGGGACTTGAACCTATTCAGCCTCCACAAGAGAAGGCTGAGGGGGGACCTGGTGACCGTCTATAAACTCACTAGGGGGAACCAGAAGGGTTTGGGGGAGACGCTGTTTCCCCTAGCCCCCGCTGGCATAACAAGGAGTAATGGGCACAAGTTGAGGGAGAGGAGGTACAGATTGGACAGGGGGGACCTGGTGACCGTCTATAAACTCACTAGGGGGAACCAGAAGGGTTTGGGGGAGACGCTGTTTCCCCTAGCCCCCGCTGGCATAACAAGGAGTAATGGGCACAAGTTGATGGAGAGGAGGTACAGATTGGACATCCGAAAAAACTACTTCACAGTTAGGGCGGCTAGGAGCTGGAACCAACTTCCAAGGGAGGTGGTGCTGGCCCCTACCCTGGGGATCTTTAAGAAGAGGCTGGATACTTACCTGGCTGGACTCATTTGAGTCCCGTTTTTGTTTTTAGGGTGAGTGTTTGTTTTTTTTTTTTTTTTTTGTTGTTTTTTTTTGGGTTGTTCTCCCGCCCTGGCGGGGGGTCGGGCTAGAAGATCTATTAGGTCCCTTCCGACCCTGAAACTATGAAACTATAAGAATCCATTGCTGAAATATGGAAAATGACCAGAAATGGTCTGTCCAAAACCATCAAAACAGACTTAACCAGATTAATTGCCATATCATATGGAAAAAAACAAATATGATGAATTTTCACAAATTTCACCTTCCTTCTGTTCCAATGCAGCCTCTGGGAATAAAGTCCTCCTTTCTGTAGCAGAGTAAGGGAACTAGAAGAACAGCATCAACTGTTCTGTCTTATGTTTATTTTTTTCTAAGCTTATTCCGTAGCTATTTTGTTCTTATGTGGATGTTCTTACAGACTATCCCACCCTTATTTTTAAGTGTTTTTCTGTTTTTCACCCCTGCTTGGAATTTTGGATTTTTTTTTTCTGCTTTGCAGCAAGTTAGCTGTTCATAAATAACATTACAAACAGTCCACAATCACATTTTTGACATAATAATATTTTATTTTATTTTAGAATTTGACCTGAGGATACAAAATATATTTAGTCATTCATTTCATAGTGTATTTTATATTTTCATTGGCTGGTAGAATATTTTGTTCACATAACGTTTTAATGGTAGAATAATTCAGTACAGTCCTGCTTCTGTGCCGTAAAGAGATTAAGGCCTCGTTTATAATACTGGTGTGCTGGACATAATAATTAGGAAAGGAAATTACATGTGAAAGGATAAATTTCTCATTCAAAGAAATGGAGAACAGTGCTGTTTCTCTTTATTATGCATGGCTCATTGTTTTTAAATCTGTAACATTACAGAAACTGTAAATGTAGTGTGATCACTACCTTACCTTGTGCAAAATTTTAAACCAAGAATATAATTAGTTAATCAAATTATATGTGAATTTATGCTTGCCGTTCTAATTTAAAATGTTGCTTATATTTTATTGCTTTTTATCCTAAGAAGTTACTAAGATGCAACTTTGTTAGTATTGTTTTGTAAGTTCATTGTATTATGCATGTTATAAAATGATAGTTTTCAACTTCCACCTTCTATTATTGTAAACAATTTGCTGTAATTTGTGAAATACAAAAGATTCAGGATTTCACAAATAAGGTTATGGCAAGCTACTGCTAAGTTTGCATTTTGGTGGTTTCAGTAAAAAGTTATGGGAGCCAGGGATTCCTATCTCTTTACTTCCTCTACAGAGTCTCTGTAGTTTTGGGCAAGTCTCATTTATCTCTCTGCATCCAGCTCTCTATCTATATAAAAAGGGCAAAACACCAAACAGGAATATTTGTGAAGATTTATTTGTTGATCTGCTAGTCATTGTTGTTACTAGTATCATAATTATGCAGGGATTAGCAATTTTATTGAATTCAATGCGACTTTTGCATAGGCCTTTTAATTTCTTAGTTTTCTATAAAAGGAGCTTAACACCCAGAAACAGGAATTCACTTTGTAATTCTTTTCTTTTATAGTGAAGAGGTCTGTATTTTGTCTGCATCTGGCACGGCAGCTGTACTGAACCCTAGGTTTCTCCAGGATGGCACCATGGAAGGCTGTTTGGATCAAAGGTTGTCATGGCAGCCTGGCTTCTTTTCCATAGGGTCAGAGAAGGGAGAGGTTGATTTTTTTCCTCAGAGCCAAGATAGTTCTTCTCTATTAGGGTAGGTTACAGTGTTACAGTGCAGGATGCGGGACCAACCACTTTACTGATTTTTCACTAACAACAACAACAACAGAAGTAATGGAATTCTGCACCAAATTAAATATTCTGTTTTTATTTCTAACAGCCTGAGTAAGGTAACACGTTTGACTACTAACCACAGAATTATAACTCGTGTTTTTCTTTGACACTCTTCAGGTATCTTTCTCACTTTAGCATAGAACCCTACAAAAATTGACTGTCAAATAATAACTTACATAAGCTAAATTTTGGTGCAGATATACTACTTGAACTACTGCATTGTGTTCAGTAGCTGTGTAGTAAATCAAATATGTTTTATATGCAAAATAAAAAATGAGTAAGTTGGATCACCACAAAAGATATTTCTATAAACTGAAATTTATAACCATCTTGAAGCTTAAAGGAAAAGACTGAATTTACTAGTTAGATTTTTTTTTTTTAATTTTAACCTCTGTATAGCACAAAAAAAACTTTTGTAAAATAATTAGTTTGGAGAGTAGCAATTTATATTGTCTTTTTTATTGTCAATAGTGCTTTTCCTATATGTTCATTTGGATAATAGACCTACAGGATCTGTGCATCCCAAATCATATGTTATAGCACAAAGGTGCCTCATTTCTCTATGAAACATTGTATCTTAGTATTCTGCCTATGATTATTCTTATTAGCATGTGATTATCTCTTCTGAAGATACTACTTTTTGATCAGTTATTTAAAGCTGTAGTCAAAATGCAAGTTATTTTAGTTTTTATTTTTCTGTCCCATAAGAACATTTAATAAACTCTCAGCATGGGAAAGAATGCTTGTGTGACATCTTAAGAAAGTCACATCCCTTATATAAAGAAAATGGTCCCATGTACAAATCTTGCTTAAATCTTTAAAATCTGACTCAAAACTTTTAAAGCAAAATAATGTTGTACAGGACAAAAATATATATACCATGTTGCCTTTTATAGTAGTTAAAAAAAATCATAATTTGGTCAGACTGCATAGTCTTTGTATTTGCAACAGTTACGCCAAGATATTTTGAATTGTTTCATATCTGAGTGACTAGGAAGTTTGGCTTAATACTGTAGTTTGGTAAATTCTCTGGGTCTTTTGGTTTACAGTGGCAAACTGTATTGTGCTGCTTTCCAGTAAAAATAGCTGTCATATTTAATCGATTGATTAATCTTTGTATAGTTTATTCAAACATAGTCTTGTAGGAGATGCTTCATACTGTATTTGATATGCATTTATACACAGAAGTTTTCCATAAATATATTGCAGTAACCACGAAACATAGATCCTACAGCAATTGAAGTAGTATGTTAAACTAATATAAATCACTGGCAATTTTATGCACTTGTTTCTTGATCTCTGACTAGATCAAGGTTGAAACATAGGCACTGCACTATAACAGGAGCAGACAATTATTTTGGGCAGAGGGCCGCTTACTTAGTTTTGGCAAGCCATCAAGGGCTGCATGACAGGCAGCCAAGGGCAGATAAACATCAATTTTCTAATTTTTTTAGGGGCCCTGCAGGCTGGATAGAATGGCCTGGGGGGCCGCATCCAGCCCCTGGGCCGCATTTTGCCCACCCCTGCACTATTAATACCATTTTAGTAAGTAGCTTGTGACAATTTTATTCTGTACATTGATATAATTATTTGAACATTGTCACATAGCTGGAATAGAGAAGAAGTGTGCTGATATGGATGGCTTAAATAGGTGTGTGTATAGGATAAATTTATATATGTGAACGCGTATGCTCTTGTTAAATTGATGCACACATTTTAAGTATCTTTTTCATGATGTACTTCTAGGATTGAAGAAACTTCACCTGCAGGTTGTGGATTTTGCCACATACCTTATGATGAACTGAACATGCCATTTCCTGCTCACCTCACATACTGTTACAATTGTCGAAAGCAAAAGGTTCCTGATGTTCTGTTCACAACAATAGATTTGCCTGTAGAGGCAATGGTTATTGGGAAAGGATGTCTTATTCAAGCCAGGTATCAATCAGAATATTTATTTTCTGACTACTGTGGTAGATTTTCTTCTTTCTGTGGTTGAACAAAATTACAGGTTTTACGTTATGTTCAGTTGTTTGAAGTAACAAATAGCTAACTGGCAACTTTGTAATTATACTATTTGTATTCTTGATGAACAGCAGTTAACTTTGATCTCATTTTACATTGTCTCTACTATTTTGTACTTCCTACTAAAATTACTATGTTTTTGTCTACATGGTTTCATAGTTGGTAGGGTCAGAAGGGACCTGAGGAGATCATCTAGTCCGACCCCCTGCCGTGGCAGGAAAGAGTACTGGGGTCAAACAATCCCAGCCAGATGTTCATCCAGCCTTTTTTTAAAGACCCCCAGGGTAGGAGCCAGCACCACTTCTTTTGGAAGTTGGTTCCAGGTCCTATCCTCCCTGACAGTGAAATAGCACCTCCTAATGTGTAGCCTGAAACTACCCTCTGCTAGCTTGTGTCCATTGTTTCTTGTAACTCTAGGGAGTGCTCGGGGGAACAGGGACTCTCCCAATGCCTGCTGTTCCCCCTTGACTAGTTTGTAGACTGCCACTAGATCCCCTTTCAGCCTTTGCTTTTGGAGGCTGAACAGGTTCAGGTCCCCCAGCCTCTCCTCATAGGGCCTGCCCTGCTGACCCCTGATCATGCGGGTGACCCTCCTTTGGACCCTCTGCATATTGGCCACATCCCTCCTGAAGTGCAGCACCCAGAACTGGACGCAGTACTCCAGCTGCGGCCTGACCGGTGTCGCATAGAGGGGGAGGATCATCTCCTTGGACCTCCTTGAGATGCATCTGTGGATGCACGACAAGGCATGCTTGGCCTTCCTGACCGTGTCCCCACTTTGTTGGCCCACATTCATTGTGGCATCAATGATGACTCCAAGATCCTTTTCTATCTCGACACTGACGAGAAGGGAGTTCCCCAGCCTGTAGGTGTGCTGCTAGTTCTTCCTCCCCAGGTGCATTACCCTGCACTTGTCAGTGTTGAACCCCATCCCGTTCTCATCGGCCCACCCCTGTAACCTGTCTAGATCCGCTTGCAGCCTATTCCTTTCTACTAGCATACCCACTTCACTCCACATCTTGGTGTCATCTGTGAATTTGAACAGGGTGCTTTCTACTCCCTCGCCCAAGTCACTGATGAAGATGTTGAATAGTGCGGGCCCGAGGACTGAGCCCTGGGGAACCCCACTGCCCACATCCCTCCAGGTCAAATAAGACCCATCCACCACCGCCCTCTGGGTGGTGGTGGAGGGCAAAGATTTGAAAATGAAAATAAGGAGTTATGCTCTGGTTAAATTAAGTCAAAATAGTGAACCAGTAGAATGAGAAACACAGCTTGGCATGTGGTAGAAAATTTCAAGTCCCATAATCATACTGGGTGCATCTACACAAGACATTTACTGAGGAGCTGACTAATTAACTCCAGAATAAAATGTCACTGTCTACATGCATGATGCTATTAGGCTGCAGAAAACTAATTAATGCTGCTGTAGAACAGTACTGCCTAACACAAGTACTATCCTATGGTAGTATTACTTAGTGTGCTGCAGTGCAGCTGTAAACGGGGACTTGGACTGGTTGGGGCACAAGGGTGCTACAGTGCAGGGCTGCATTGAACACCTTCTTGCCCCAGCCAGCCCCTCCACAGCACGTTGACCCAGGTTGGAGCAGCCCCAGCCTGGCAGGCTGATTCCTGGAGCCCCCTGCCAACAACGGCTGCTCTGTCCCAGCTCAATTTTCTGCAGTTCCAGGTGCATGTGTAGAGGCTGCACCCAGGAGCAATAAACTCTGGCACGAACTGTGCTGGAGTTTATTGTGTTGCATTAATATGCACATGTAGACATGCCCACTAAGATCTTAACCAAAATTTCCCTTTTAAAAGAAGACCTCAGGTGGGATAGTACAGCCACACAGAAAAAAATTTCTATTAGAGATTTTTTTTACTTTGTCATTTTATCTTTAGGAATGCAGAAACATATTCTGAATATATGTTTAAAGAGGATCCTGCATGCACTGTTAAATACCATGGGTTATTCTTTACAAATCAACTATGATACTGTACTAATATTTATAAATAAAATTGTAGTTTCTTTCTTTTAAATATTTTAAAAATATTAATGGTGGGGGGAATACTTTGCTACTTGCTAGAAATACAGCAGTGTTGCTTAGTCAGTCAGCTTGGGTCAGGAGTAGGCAAAATACAGTCCACAGGCTAGATCTGGCCCACCAAGGGATTTCTGTCCACCAGCCCATGGCAGTCCAGCCCAGGCAGCCTGGGCTATGACTGGTCCTGCTGGACCCAGGTGTGAAGTCGGGCTGGGACTGTACAGCAACCAGATTGTATTTCCTGACAGCTCCAGTGGTTGCAGTGACTCCTGGTTGCTGCTGCCACCAGACCCAGCCCCACTGCCCAGACACCCAGGTCTGTTCACCCTGCACCCACTGCTAGGGGTGGGACCCCCAAGGGCAGGGTACTTGGCTGGGACGGGGCCTCAGGCAGGTAGGGAGTGGCATCCTGGGGGCTGGGGAAACCCCAAGATCTTGTAGTGGTGACAGCCTGGGCAGAACCTCAATTTGCTCCCTGCATGCCACTGTAACAGGTGCAAGTTCTGTGGGCAGGGGTGTGCTGGGAGTGGATCACGGCTCTGCCCCGATCTGGCCCCTTGCTGTTGCTGACCCAAGAACCCTAATGCAGTTGCCCCCAAGCCTGTGGTCCCATCCCATCTGCCTGGCTTTGCATTCTGACAGTATGGCTCCCAACTGGTCTCCATAAAGACCCTAAGATAGTGGGGCGGTGACAACGCGGGGCCAGGGATGTGCAGGGAACAGATCGTGGCCCAGCCCTGGCCCTGCACTTTCACCACCCTGCAATCCCAAGAACTCTATGGAGACTATCTGGGAGCTGTGTGAGATGTGGTCATGGCTGGGCAGGAAGCTGCATCCAGGGCCAGGGCAGAGCTGAAATCTGTTCCCTCCCTGCCCCTGCCTGTGGAACTGGCCCGTGTTACTGCGGCGTTTAGGCAGCGAATCCAGGCTCTACCCTGGCCCTGCACTGTCACAGTCCCATGACCCCTCCTTGTGATTCCAGCCTTACCCGCCTGTCCCACTCCCAAACACTACTCCTCACCCACCTGTGGCCTCATAGGGAGCCCACAACAGCTCAGCAAAACTTGGCCCACAGGCCCAAATGCCCACCCCTGGCTTAGGTGGTAGTACATCTGAGAGTGAAGGGCAGATTCAATGTTTTTAGATTTCCATGAATTTGATTATGGTATTGTAATTTCACGTTTTAAATATAAGCAGTTACTTTCCATTTTTTGCTTTGTTATTCTGACTAGTAGACATACTGTACAGTCATCAATACAAGTTCCTAGTCCTCTTGGATTGGCATACCTGTGGAGCATCTCTTGAAAGTAATTGATTTGTTGTGAGATGATCCAGGAAGCACTGCTTTAGTTATGTTATAGCAAGTAACTGCTTCTGTAAAAGCACAGTTAGCTTGCTTACATTAAATGCCAGGATCTACTGTCTGCCTCTGATGCTTATTTATGATTCCGTATCAATGGCCTTAAAAGATGTGGCTAAAGGAAGTAGAAGTCATGGGGAACAGGTTTTCTTCTTGGCTTTTCCTCTGCCTTGTTGTGTGAACTTGGATAAGTCATTTTACTCTATCTGTGCCTTGGTTTATTGAACTGAAGTAGAGCAGCACTTCCTACTTCTGAATTTATTAACATTCATGAATTTTATGATGGAAAGTGTTTAAACAAGAAATCCAAGTTAAGTCATGCCTAATTTTAGCAACATTTTACTGGCAAATATTTATTATAAGCCAAGACTGATCAATTTAATGCTGTGCTGACTGATGCTTAGGAAGGTGTTATGCTTAAAATAAAAAATCTATTATTTTAATTTTAAAAAATAACTTGAATGTGTTTTCAGTTGTTAAAAATGTAGTCTCATTGCTTTTTGTTTTTAACCATTAATAAGCCTACATATTCAAGTCCTGGGTAATTCCATGTATCTGCCTTCCCATCAACAGGTTATGTCGCCTGAAAAAGAAAGCTCAAGCAGAAGCCAATGCAACAGTTATCAGCAATCTGTTGCCATTTATGGAATATGAAGTACACACCCAGCTAATGAACAAACTTAAACTGAGGGGAATGAATGCCCTTTTTGGACTGAGGATTCAGATCTCAGTGGGTGAAAATATGCTGGTGGGCTTGGCAGTAAGTGTTGCTTTGTGTACCTATTTTGAGATTCTCTCATTCTATTACAGACTGTTCTTATAATTTCACAAAAACTTTTATAATGGTGGAGAGCATTTAGAAATTAGTATAGAAGTAATAATGATAGAAAGAGCTGAACCTTGATTGGCACAGAAGACTGGACTCTCTTGATCCTAAATTAGGAGACAAATATCAAAGAAAAAAGAGAATTCCCCAAAATAACTTAATTGGGATATACTTCATAAAAATGATCATATTCACTTAAGGTTGCTGTTAAAATAAATCTCTACACTCAAACTGCATTTTGCTTGTATGCCAGATGGGTTTTGTCCCCTCTGGGTCAGTGACAAGAAGACCCCTCACCTTTCCTCCTGCTCAGAATATTGGTGTCTTCAATTGTCATTTTCCATCAAATTACTTTGAAGGACCTATATTGTTATTTGTACTGGTTTAACTGTGTGCAGCAATTATGCCTTGTTTTTCAGCTGCTTCAAACTCTATTGGAGTTTGTTCCACAGTATCAAATTATTTTTTTCTTACTAGTTTAAAATAAAATTTAAATTTTGGAAAATTTATCAAGGAGACTAGATATAGTTATAAACCATTCAGTCACAGGTATCTCCGATTTCTGTCTGTTGTGCGGGCTTGGAATAGCCACATAAGAGCCTGTCTCTCCCAAGGCATCTGAGTAATTAGATAGGTCCTGGGTGCAGTCTACAGGCTGTCCATGGTTCTCTACCATGGCTTAATAGACAAGTGCACTGTAAAAACTGACCTTGATTAACCTCAAAGGTTGTCTTGAAATTGTGAGAGTGACTTAATTCCACTGTGTGTCTAGAGACTACATCATTATGTGCCTCTAAATATAAATATGCTGATAAGTCTCAACTCTGTCTCTGCCACTTTCATGTATCATGATGTTTAGGACACATTGGGGAATCTGTGTATTTGACACCAGTGGATATTCAGAATATTATAGTCTGTTGCTGGAAATACAAATTGAGGCATGAGTTGAAGATCAACCTTGACTGAGGCTAGTCTTTGAACTTCTGGTGCAAGAAGCAACCTCTGTGACCTATCAGTGTCAATATCACTGACTTGACAGTACATTAAGCTAGTGGTGCTCAGCCTCCTGGCCCCACATACCAGATGAGTGACACAGGGCCTGTCCATGGGCTAGATCAGACCCATGCACCAGGATTTGGCCTGTATGCTCAGATTAAGCCTTATACTGCCTTGACTGGCCACTACATGCTAGGATTGGGCCAGTGGTCTAATCCAGGATCAGACCACACGTTGCCTTCTGCCCAATTCCACTTGCTAAGATTAGGTTTGCACGCTGCTTCTGTCTGCCCCATGCAAAAGGATTGGGGCCCTGCGCTGTCTCTGTCTGACCCCACATACTGGGGTTAGGCCCTGCACGACCTTGTATGCCCAATCTCGTGTGCAGGGTTACAGTCTGTGGAGCTCCTCATGGGTGACCCAGTGCTGGGGGCCATACATATCTGATTCACAGACTGGGGGGTTGACCACTCCTACATTAGATTGTTTTCTCTTTCTGACCTCTTCTCTTATTTTGCTTCACCTGCAACACAGATGTAGCTATTGAATTGCACTGTAAAGATTCTGAGTCTGGAAACTAGTGCTTCAAACGTGTCTTGTGTTTTGGTACTGATGCCATGTCCCACTCATGATTGTTTTTTAGCCCCCATTTTATTTTCTATGGTAACATAAGTATAGTAACATGTATGCCAGTAGTTATTGTACAGATGTCTGAAACATAGATCTTGTTTATCAGAATTAATGGTAAGATTGGAGAAAGCTTTTTATTTTAGTATTTCGAGTCTGAAGTTCTCTCTTCAGACATGTTCCAAACTTCCATCGGGACTGAAGAGTGAACTTCAAATGCTCTGTTCTCCTAAATGAAAAGTGCATATTAAAATATGGAAATTCTTCTTCAAGTATGTATCTCCATGGATTCTACAGTAGGTGAGTCCATGCCTTCTGCAAGTCAGCTCAAAATCTTGTGAGCCTTGGTAATTAAAGCTATGCACATATTCTGCAGTTCCTTGTGCTAGTGTGCAAAGTCAGGAAGGTACACTTGCGGGAGTTGTTCACACTACTGCCAGCGTGTCATTTCTTAGTCATCAGGGTTTAAATCTTGTTTAAATACTGTAATGGAATGGTGTTATGTTCCTGATCAGCAGATACAATAGAAGGCTTTATAGTCTTTGGGAAGGATTTAAATCTTTTGCCTGCTGTTCCTTCTCCTGCAAGCAGAAATGTAGATCAGGAGTTCAGATTGTTTGAAGGTCACATCTCATCTCAAAGAGGCAAATAACTAACAAACTAGACTTGAAGGCTATTCCTGTCAAGTTTATAGAAAACAAACACTGGTCTTTGGGTTTGAATGGAAAGAAAAGAATGTTGAAAGGTGCCAAAATCCTTGGTGCAGGATCCAGCATAAGGATTTTCAGTGCTGACTACCTTAGTATGCTTGACATGAGCAACAAACAAGGAAAGGCAAAACCTTTAATAATGTTTATGAAGTTGCTGGAGACAAGTGAGGTACCAGAAGAAAAGGGCCAGCATAGTGGCCATCTTTTTAAAAGGCAAAAAAAGAGGACCTAAGGAACTACAGACTGGTTAGTCTCGCTTCAGTACCCAGGAGCTTACTGGAGCATATCCTAAGGAAGTCCATTTGCAAGGATCTGGAGGAGGAAAAGCTGATCACAAGCACTCAGCCTGGATTTACTAAGAACACATGATGCCAAACAAATTTGATCTCCTTTGACAAAGTAACTACTTGGGGTGAGGGGTAATGAAGGGAATATATAATGTGGATATATTGTATCTGGACTTCAGCAAGGCCTTTGACTGTCCCACATGACCTTCTCAATGAGCTCAAGTTGCAGCAAGGGAACCTTCTCATGACCTTCTCATAAACGTGGATAGACAGCTCAAGCAAAGGGTAAATTATAAATGATCAGTAGTGTGTGAATATGCTTGGTGTTCTTACTCCTCAGCTTTCATAGCAATCTCAGCAAGTAATGCTTCCTATTTTCTGCAGTTGGCTAGGAGGTTGTTCCACATTGTTCAGTTATGACCTGGCTGAAGTTAGTAATGTTTTTGTCACCTGAATAGATATAGCAACATTGTACGTTTGGTCATGAAAATTCCAACTAGTATAAAATGCTGCAGTATATATCTTCAACCAACATATTCTGCTGCAAGCACATCAGACCTGTTATCAACTCTCAGTGATGGCTTCCCGTAGAATTTTGAATCAGCTTAAGAATTTCATTCTTTTATCCTCAAGGTATTCCATGGCTTGAGCCCAGAATATCTAAAAGATCTCCTAAAGTTTTGGAATAAAATCTGTAGCTGGCAAATATACTGCCTGAACACCAGATAACTCTCTACAGGAAGAATAAAGTCCATAAGAGTGGGACTTAGTTGCTGGTCTAAGAGTGTGACATGAACTCCCCAGGAGACAAACCACTGATCTTACCACTCCCACTCCAAGTACAAGGTATATTTCTATGCTGTCATTTCTCTAACAATGTGGCAACACACATTTAAAAACAAAGTAAAATTACCAAATGGCACTCTGATGCACATGCTTATGAAAGGATCAAAAATGTAATAGGTATATGTGTCACTTTGTTTTAACTTAACAACAGAATCTGTTTGGATGTGATCGGGATGAACACAGTGTTAAGAACCTCAGTTAAATAGATGGCCAGTGGTATCTGTAGCTAGTAAGGTTTGAACCTGGGGAAGACTTGTACAAGTGCATCTGTCTCCACCAAACTGTTCTTTACCAAAGTCCTCTTTGTCCTCATCTGATGAAACAGTCACATCTTTTCCAACATCAGCCACTGATGTGAGCAAGTCCTGGAAGGCCTTGAAATCAGGACTGCAATGGACATTGAAACAATAGCGATCCAAGAAAGATGCACGCAAGCTTTTGATTTTTCAGTTCCTCAGTACTGTTAATACTGCTCTCCTGATGAACACGAGTATGCTGGAGCCAGAAAAGCTGGTATACCTGTTGTTTTTCTTAACTTTGAATCGAATAGAAAAGCTCTATCAGATTCCATCTTAACAGGTTTCTGGTATTTTTATTCTTGTTCGACTCCAGGGTCTTTGGTATTGCCTACAATCTGTGAAAAAGGGTCCACTCTGGAATACAAGGACTTCAAGAAATTGAATCTTTTGGACGTAATACAGTTATCTGTTTTTGTTCAACCTTGAATCGTAAATTATGAGCCACGTTGCTAAATTTGACATGGGAGAGGATTTATTGCCCCACTCTATTTTGACTCCCACAGGCTTGTTGAGAGGAGCAGGAAGGAGATCATCATCATGAGTCCATGGATGGACATCCACCAGGAATATTTTTGCTTTACCGGAAACGCACGTGCTCTTATCACAGAGGACCAATTGTCACATTCAAACTCTGTTTCCGAAATTCAAAGCTACTTATTGTGCCTAAAAGAATTTTCTCTTTACTTAGCTCCTTATCAGTTTATTTAAATCTCATATCAGGTATATATTCTCCAGGATAGGCAATCTCAGTCTCTTCTCATGTGATAGCAAAAACATTTTTTCCCCCTGATTAGGGATCCAGTCCCAGAAGTCATATGCAGATAATTGACCCCTTTCTTTGAGATGTTGTAGTTGGTGTGAATTTTACAGCCCTGTCTTTCATCCCCATTTTTTGGAGTTCTTCTCAGACATGAGCTTTGAATTTCAAGAGAACTGAGTTGCAGTCTTTCCATCCTTTTCATGCTCATATGGGAGCACAAGGTCACAGAACATAAGTCTGGCCCTGGTGAACACTGTTACTCAGGAAAGATTCTGAGCTCATGCACTTGAGATATGCACATACCTACAGTGTGATCCAGGTAGGCTACAACTTCTCAAAGAACCACAGCTATTTGTCTGGTAAGTTACCATTCTGTTTCTTTCTTTTATCCATCTCTGTATCATTTTTGATATTTGCTTATAAGTTGAAATATCTCAACCCTGATGTAACTTAGCCTCTCTCCTTATTAAACTGGCTTAAAGAGTCTGTAAGATTCTGGTGGATGGCTATCTTGCCTTCTCACTGTAAAAACCTCACATGCAGTAAATCTGAAGTATCTATTCATATTTCTTTCTCTCCTTAATCAAAAATGGGTTTTCACCCACTGTGACTAGTTTATTTAAACACATGTGTTTCATAAGATATTCCTATTTCTATGGTATAATAGACTGATATAACATGGTTTAACTCCCCAGTACTGGGAATTCAACTTCATAATTTAACACTACAAAATGCTGTAATGTTAAGACAGTGTATTTCCTACTGAAATCAAGGATTAGCTCAATGCATGATTATTAGAAAAAATATTACTGTATTCTGTATTATAGTACAAGTATCCTAGTATGTAATAATTTCTAGATATGAAACTACTAACCCGAGATGAAAACCTTTTAGGAAGAAACACTGTTTTCCATTTATAATTTATTTGGGTTCCTAGATAAGTAAGACAGTTCCTTTTGAGTGAGAGAGATGCCAGGAGTGAGAAGTTCTTTAAAAAACATCGTTTTCAATAAAGGTGGGTTATGTTACCTCAGAAGCAGGTTATAATACAAATTTGTTTGTTGCATTGCTAAAAAATCATAGGCACCACTGAATTATAAATGTCTTTTATACTGTTAGAAGTAGAAATAAGCACTGAAAATAAAACTTCAGTGAACTTGAACATATCTTGGATATATTTCTTAGTAACTTTTTCTTTTTTAGTCTGCCACAGGTGTGTATCTTACTGCTTTACCAACCCCTGGTGGTATTCAGATTGCTGGGAAGACTCCAAATGATGGCACCCATGAACAGCATATATCTCACATGCAAAAAAAAATAAATGATACAATAGCCAAAAACAAAGAGATTTATGAGATTAACCCTCCTGTAAGTAAAGTTCATTCAATCCTCTGTAAAGAGAATATCTGTTACTGTCATTTCACAATATGCACATCCCTAAACTCTTGTGAGTGAAAGCAAGCAAAGCAGCAGCCATTAAGAATAAGCTAAATGTATTTTGTATAATATTTTATATAAATTTCATAGCTGGTGATGTTCTACAAGTCCCTTTCTATATTCCCATGCCAAATCGCACTTCAGAGACTCAGGAGATCCTAGAGCATCAGCCAACAATCTGGAGCAGTGAAAAGCAACTTGCAGTTTACTAGTCAGGGTATCCCTTGCTGACTGGATAGATATAATCTTATTTTTCCAGGCCTGAATCAGCTTTTCTATAACCCCAAGTTGGGGAAGGCACAAGTCCTGACAAAACTGGACAATATGAAAAGATGCGTCTTAAGTCTAGTGCAAAAGTGAGAGTATCTGTCCCATCTTTTTCTCTCTTTCATTTTTCTGTTTATATCACAGGAGAGAATTTTGGTGGGAAACTTCCACAAGTATTTCAAAGTAAGGCCTATAAAATGGATACAATTTGCTTCTTTGCCAGGTTGAAAATGGAACTCTATGAATTCCCTTACCTAATTTCAGGGATGTATTCTGGAAGAGGCAGTATTGGAACTGTCAAGATATCTTTGAACTGTGAAGGGGCTTCTCTAGCTAGTCATCAGATAGAGAAGAATCTGTCCAGCCTGATAACTGGATTCAGGTCTCTTGATAAGAGGGTCATTCTTGGACACATGAATCAGCACCCTGTATCCTAGAAGGAAAGGAGGGATATTTTCATCTTTTTTTTTTTTTTTTTTTGAAGCAGAGTAATTGTAGCTGCATGACCTTCTGCCATATAGGACCCTTAAGACTATATGAGCCATCTCAATATTATAGTAGATTACCACTATTTACCAAAATTGATTCAGGGGTTGTGGGGGAGGTGGTTGGGGGTTTTCTTAAGGGGAAAGAAAGGGTGGGGACCCACTTCCACTCTAAGTGGCATTAAATAGCATCACATTCCATTAGATGTTATGGTGGTTTGTGCACTTAGCATTTCTCTACTTGATGGGATACTCTCTGATTTCACATGTAGTTTCTCAATAGCCCAGATTCCCTTTGCTTTCTCCAGTAAGCTAAGGAATACCTTTCCATTTTTGTAACTTCTCTTATTTAAGAAAAGTAATGTCAATTATAATGTATTATCATGCAATCCTCTCCATATCCAGAAACCTCCAAATGAGGTTGAATGGCTGGGGCTGTCTTCAGAACTGGATAGCAGTACTGACTGAATGTAGGTATAATAGGTTCTCTTCCGTTCTTCCAGTTTAGTGTAGACTATATTGCTTCCTACTTCTCAAACATTAAGAGAAATTGCCTAAGGAGAAAAATGCAATCAGCACGTGTAGTAGAGATGATATCTTTTATTTGAACAAAAAGATTTTTGCAAAAAAAAAATTCTTTAATTGCAAGCTTTCAGGCACAAACCCTTCATCAGGCATGGGAGAAAAGATTGTAAAAGTTCTCCAGGGTAGAAATGAAAGTTTGTATTTCATAGGATTTCACAGAGGAGTCAATAGATGGAAAACTCCTCTGGGCAGTCAGTTCATAGCTGGTATGGATCTTCTCACCTCCTGTGATGATGCAAATGACCTTGAAACAAAGGCAGGAGCAGGATCTCAGGTTTCAGGGTGCCTAAGGATACCTGGATACCTAAGCAGAAAAAATAATTTATTAAACTTTTTTAACGAAGAAGAAAAATACGTCTGTGAATAAGTTCTCTTAAACTGTTAAGCACCACCATTTAATTTACCTGTGTTGATGATAGATCTATTTTATTTCTTATTGTTCTTTTATGCATTGTGTAAGTATATTTAAAGGTGGTAGGTAGATTTTCCTTTGAAAATAGTGAGGTTTTCCTCCAAGAATAGTGAGGTCAGAGAGGGAATGGCTTTTCTGTGACAAATGTGCTCCTCATGGCATGCATATGTCTGTCCTTTTATATTTTTTCTGTGAGAGTTCATTCTGGTGCGTAGTCACTGTTTAGTTTTTAGCTGCGTAGTTGCCCTGTGGTACTTTGTGCATTGGCTCAAGTATATCACGTTTTGGGAAAGGCATGTGTAGGAACCATGGATTCTGATGGGGCTTTTTTTAAGGTGAGAGTTTAGAAATAGTAGCAGTGAAGATGTGCTGACAGGTTAAGCATTTCTTGCCAAGGCAAGGCTTGTCCTGCTTATTTGATGTCTGTTGGACAGTGGGGAAAAGTCTGATATTTGTTGAATATAGGTCGTAGTTGTTTGATGATTCTTCTGATGAGTTCTAGTGTGGGGTGGGAGGTGACCACAAGGGGTATGTGGTCAAAGTAAGTTGTGGGGAGAGGGGAGGTGTTGTATTGTATGGTAGCAGATTACTGTGGGATATTTGCATAGCTCTTTTAAATGTACAATCTGTTTCTTTCCTGGAGTGCCCTTTTTGTATAAAAGAAGATTTTATGCTGTCCAGGTAGGCTTCACAAGCATCCACCTCAGAACAAATGTGGTGGTATCTAAGGGCCTAGCTATAGATTACAGCTTTTTTGGTGTTCTTGGGATGATTGCTGGTCTTTGTTGTGCTAAATTTAATTAAGGGATGAGATGAATGGAAATGAATCAATTGGTAAGACTATTCCAGTCTCAAATCCCAATTTATTGAACATATAAGCACTGACAATATTTAAGCAAGGCTTTAAATGCAGCACTTAACCTTTTAATAAGACCCCAACAGTCAGTAATAGGTATTATTTGTAAGCCTTCTGATGAATAAAGCAAGTTCAGCTGGCCAGGCATCCTTTACTGTTCCAGGATTTACCTGTGTCATATTCTTGGCTTCAAGTTTCTCTGAATTTGTGATGTCTCTGTTTGCATTTTATACTGTTTCTTAGGGTTTGGGGTAGTTTTTGTGGTTGTTTGACATCAAGTTCCATGTTCCATGCAGTTTTTTGACTTAGAGTTGCAACTGCTGCAGTTATGATTTTGTTTCACCATTTGTCCAATCAGCTTTTTCTGTTCACACGTCTTCTTTGTACTTAGTTGCGTGCCTTTTACCTGATCAGTTTGCAAACTGTGTTTAGCGAGCTGTATATTTGTTTTCATTGTTTAATATTACATACCTTCTGCACAAATATCCACCAGTTATCTTTTATATTCATTTTTTTCCTGTCAAATTGCTGTCTGTATCTTTCTGTCTTGGATTGTTAAACCATATCCTCTTTTAACTTTCTGCTGGCAGGGGGTTTCAAAAGGGTTATCTTAAACTGTGGCTTATTTGCTTCATTCAGTTAATTAGATCATGGTCCAAAATGATGTTGTGTATGCTAAGCATTTTGCTAAAGTGGCTTTCAGGCCTAGTCTTGTAGACATAAGTATGATGGTCTGTGGATTTTCTGTATCTAGTGGTTTGTGGTGCCATCCTGGATCTGAATTATGGTAACTAGAAAGTTGATACTGCTTTAGAAGTATTCCAGAGAAACTTTGATTGAGGGATGATAGTCATTAAACCTGTGGTAGAAATCAATAAGTGAGTACAGGTGTTCAGTCCAGATGATAACTATACCTGAATTTATGTAATGTAGATATAGTTCAGGTTTGGTGCTGTTTTCTATAAATTTTTCATCCAGATGTCTTATAAAGACGTTGGTATATTGAGGGGCTATCTTTGTGCCTATAATTGGGCCCATGGTTTCGGGGAAGTGATGATTATTGAAAGTGAAGTTGTTGTGGGTGAGTATGAAATGGATAAGTTGTGCAACATGTTGCTCAGGATCTGAGTCTACTCCATGTTCTTGAAGGTATTTAGGGCTGGCAGCTGTGATGTTAGGCTGCTTACAGACATGGGGAGGAGGAGGGGTGGGGAAGTGCTTTACTTTCAGCTTGGTGCATACCCATGCTGAGTGCAACATGTGCCCAGAAGAGCAGTTGCGTCAGGTTGACTTGGCTCACCCAACTTATGTCTAGCTCATGGGCTTCAGTAGAGCTTTTTGGTGCTTGTTTCTAATAGCGGTTGAATTACCTAATAGATAAAATTTCCAGAAAGACTTGCTGAAGTGTGCAAGCTATATAGATGCCAAGGAAGAGCTGGGTCAAATGGATGAAATTTCACTTCTGGTAAAGCACTGTTTTGTTTTGTTTTGTTTTGTTTTGTTTTGTTTTGTTTTGTTTTGTTTTGTTTTGTTGCTTTTCCTCTCCAAGGAAAAAAGGTTGTTGTGGTCCTGCTTTTGTGGGATTTTTCCTTTTAGCTTTCTTCCTGAAATAAATTATTTTCAAAAGATTCTGGGACTTTCATGTTATGAGATGAGTAAGACGTTAGGAACTCAAATCCATTATAATAAATGCTAATGCTTCATGAAATTTATTTATATGCTGTTTCAGGAGATACCAGAGGAAATCATAGGGTCTCCCATTCCAGAACCAAGACAACGTTCTAGGCTGCTGAGATCTCAGTCAGAAAGTTCTGATGAAGTTACCGAACTAGACCTTTCACATGGGAAAAAGGATGCTTTTGTCTTGGAGGTAATATCCATGTCTATAATACTTGTGTTCCTACATTTTGTTGTAAAATTACTAGAAAACATAGAAGTCATCATTTTTTATTTCCATACTGTCCTAAATTGCAGAAGAGATCTTCATTTTTTTGTAAAGTAGAAACTGGAAAATTGAAGTTTGAGTCTCCTCCTCTACTCCACTCTCCTATTGTTTTTCAGACAGCTGGTCTCTGTTGGCCCTATTCCAAACAAGAATCTCCTTTGTTATTATGAAGCAGTATTAAGAATGGTAGCAAAAAGATAGTAAGGACTGTTGTTTGCCCCCCTCCTCCTCCTGCCCCCCTCCACTCCCCAATCAGTATGAACATAGTCTTGAGTGCTAGCACTTCAGCATTTAGTGCTATGCCACTGTAGTTAGCTAAAAATCCCTTTGTTTTTCATGAAGGGGGTTGCTACTATTATTAAGAACAACAATAGTCACAATAACAGCAACTCCCTTTCATGAAAACCAAAAGGATTTCTTCATGTTCTTCTTGTTGTTATAATATGCCACCCTTTCCAAAAGAGTAAGCTTACAACAAACTTTTTTGAAGCTGCAATTGTTTTCAACAATCAAAAGGCCCTAGAGTTTTGTGTCAGCTGAATAAATACATGTTATAATTTAAAGCAGGGCTTGGCAACGTGTGGCCTGTGGGCCAGGTCCAGCTCACAGAGCTGTTGGATCTGGCCTGTGGAACAGTCTTCAGAGACATTCAGTGGCAGGCGGCTGCACCCTCACCACAGCATAGTGCTTTGCAGCAGTATGGAGAAGCAGTGGCAGCCAGGTCCTCACCCTGGCCCACCTTTGATCTGAGCTAGATCATTCCAGCATGCCACCAGAAAATGTTGATCCCTGATTTAAAGTATTACATTCAATTCTTTTTCTGAAAATAAGTAGCTGGGTTTTTTTAGTTTATTTCTAAATAAATACTTTAAAATATTGTGAAAAGTATTAAACGTTCTTATTCCACTGAAAGTGATGTATCAAAACTTCTGAAATTGTAAATTTTGAAGAGGTTTTAAAATAAGCATTGTATTAAAGCTTGGAGAAATAGAATATTTGGTTTATTTAAAATGATCCAAATAGTATAGCTTGGTTTATTACTTGCAAATTAAAGTTCACTGTCAGAAATTAACATGAAATCAAAACTTTTAGTATGGGTTTTCAAAAATGAGTAGCTAAAAGTAGGTGAAACTTTAGTTCAAATTTAAATTAAATGGAGTGAGTTTCAAAAGCGTGAAGTCATAGAATCATAGAAAATTAGGATTGGAAGGGACTTCAGGATGTCATCTAGCCCAGCCCCCTGGCCAGAGCCGGATCATCCCCAACTAGATCATCCCAGCCAAGGCTTTGTCTAGCCAGGTCTTCAAAACCTCCAAGGATGGAGATTTCATAGGTAGCCTGTTCCAGTGCTTTACTACCCTAGTGAGAGAACTTTTCCTAGTTTCTAACCTAAACTTCCCTTGCTGCAACTTGAGCCCATTGCTCCTTGTTCTGTTATCTGCTACCACTGAGAGTGAGTCTTGCTCCAACCTCTTTGGAACCACCCTTCATGTAATTGAAGACTGTTATTAAATCCCGTCTATCTTCTCTTCTTCACACTCAGTAAGCCCTGTTCCCTCAGCCTCTTCTAATGTTTCCCAGCCCTCACACCATTTTCATTTCCCTCCTCTGGACTATCCAAGTTGTACGTGTCCTTTCTATAGGACACAGTACTCCAGATGTGGCCTCACCAGTGCCAAATAAAGGAGAAGAATCACTACCCTCGATCTGCTGGCAAAGCTCCTAATAATGCAGCCCAGTATGCCATTAGCCTTCTTCATAACAAGGGCACACTGTTAACTTATATTCAGCTTACTGTCCACTGTAATCCCCAGGTCTTTTTTTGCAAAGCTGCTGCTTAGCCAGTCGATCCCCAGCCTGTACCAGTTCATGCGATTGTTCCATCCTAAATGCAGGACTTTGCACATGTCCTTATTGAACCCCATGAGATTTCTTTTGGTCCAATCCTCCAATTTGCCTAGGTCTCTCTGAATCATAACCCTGCCCTCTAGCCTCCCAGCTTGGTGTCATCTACAGAGTTACTAAGGATGCACTCTGTGCCAGGTTCGAGGTCATTGATGAAGGTATTTAACAAAACTGGCCCCAGAACTAACCCCTGGGGCACTTCACTTGATACTGGTTACCAACTAGACATTGAGCCATTGATTACTACCCATTGAGCCCAGCTATCCAGCCTTACAGTCCATTCAGCCAACCAGCCCATACTTCCTTAGCTTGATTGCAAGAATGTTGTAGGAAACTGTATCAAAAGCCTTGCTAAAGTCAATGTATATCACATTTGCTGCTCTTCCCCACATCCGTGGAGCCAGTCATCTTGTCAAAGAAGGCCATCAGATTGATCAGGCATGACTTGCCCTTGGTGAATCCATGCTGACTTCCTAATCTTCATCTTCTCCTCCAAGTACTTAGAAATGAATTCCTGGAAGACCTGGTTTTTCCCAGGGACTGAGGTGAAGTTAACCTTAGCAGTTCCCAGTCAAGTAATTTTATATAAGTCCATAAATAGGATCATATGAAAGTAGGGCCGGAAGAAACCTGATGAGGTCATCTAGCTCAGCCTCCTGCTTAAGGTAGGATCATCCTTGACTGAACCATCCCAGCCAACTGTCTGTCTAACCTGCTCTTGAAAACTTCCAAGAATGGAGATTCTGTAAGTAAGTTCCAGAGCTTGACCACCATTACTCATAGTGAAAAATCCTCCAAATCTCCAACCTAAACTTTCCCTGCTGCATCCTAAGGCCATTGCTCTCAGCAGAGACGACTGTAGCAGGGTTCAGGGCCCAGGGCAAATCAGCCTGTACAGGGCCCAGATGCAGCAGGGCAGGGTGGTGGCAAGTGGCCAGACACAAAGCCAGCTGGACTGTATAGGGCCTGGGTCTTGCCCCAGTTTGCGCCTCCCCTCCCCCCCGACCCAGGATGACCCTGGCTCCCAGTCCTGTTCCTTACAGTCACAAAGAAAACCCCATCTCTAATCACTCTTCAGGTATTTGAAGACTCTTATCAAATCCCCCCCCCTTAGTCATCTCTTCTCAAGACTAAATAACCTTAATTCGTTCAGCCTTTCCTCATATCATTAATAATATGAGACCTTTCCCAAGCTTCTAATCATTGTTTTTGCTCTGCACTAGGCTCTGTCCAAATCCTTAAAGTGTGGGGACCCAAAACTAGACATGTTAGTCCAGGTGAGGCCTCACCAGTGCTGACTAAAGCAGAAAAATAACCTCCCTTGATTTGTAAGTCACACTTCTGTTGATACAGCCCAGTACACTGTTGCCTCATAATCAGTTTATGGTATACTATAACCCCCAGGTCCTTCTCTGCGGTATGGAAGCCTATCCAGTTGTTCCCCAGTCTGAATATGTGCATTGAATTATTCTGTTCAAGTGTAACACTTCACACTTGTCCTTGTTGAATCTCACCTGATAGATTGTGGACCGTTTCTCCACTCCATCCAGGTCATTCTGGATCCTATCCCTGCCCTCCAGAGTATCTGCCACTCCACTCAACTTAGTGGTATCCAAAAATTTGTCAGTTGTGTAATTAATTCCATTATCCATTAATATTTATTTAATGAAAATATTAAACAATATTGGACCCAGGACAGACCTTTGTGGAACCCCACTTGATATCTCCTCCCAACTAGACACTAAGCCATTGATAACTGTTTAAACCAAATTTTAAAATCTTGGGGTTTTTTATGTAGTAATAATCCAATTGCAATACTTCTGTCTTACTGACACTACCTGTTGGAACAAATGGATGGGAAGATTTTAGTATATTTTTTTTTTTCAGATTGATGATACAGATGCAATGGAAGATGTACATTCTTTATTGACAGATGCTCCACCACCTCCAGGTATCTTAAAAACATTTCACCCTATGTGATTAAAGTAGTTATAAGCTACTGGTAATCAGTTTCACTATATACTAAAAAAAATAGAATTGTAAAAGATCGTAAAGCTCAGAGTTGGAGGGGGGAAAAGGTCTGTGCAGTATTATATTAGCTTGGAACAAAATTCAAAAAGCAGTTTGTATACCGTGAATCTGTTTTGGGAATCACTGTTGCCTGAAACTTTAGGCAAGGGAAATTCTTGAGTTAGTACTGTGCTGTTTGCTTGTCATTTTTTTGTAGAAATTTAGTATGGCGGTTGGGTTCAACATTTGTAGGTCTTTTCAACTCATGAAACAGTATCTCCGGATTATTAAATTCTGGATACCCGATGTAAAAGCTTCACTGAAAATACAAAATTATGTTTCTTTCAGTGAGCAGAAGCAAGCTCTGACAGCCACTCATCCTCTGTAGGAAGGCAGGAAGCAAGAATGCTTATTATTTAGTCTGCCTATACATGTGGTCCCAGGGGAGTGGAGCAGTGGGGACATTGTAATTAGAGCAGCTCTTGGGAGCGCGATGAGCTTTAGTTAAAGTACCCCCACCACCAGTTTGAAACACGGGACGCTGAATACATGAGATGTTGCTGAGATGCTGCAGCATGCTGGAGCCTTCTGATTAAAGTGCTCGTGCAAATCTGATTAATCTTTAGGCACCCTTAATGTCAAACTCACCTCCTATTTTGGACTGGGTCCAAATTGCTGAGCTCCTTGCTGGGGCAAGCTGCTGTTTGCTATGGTGGAGATGAGTCAACCAGCTGGGGGGCAAGAAGGACTGCATCAGCACAGTCTTAGCTGGCTCCCTGCCACTGACAGATATGTCGACTGGGGCCCCATAGCTCCAGATTCGATGGCAGGGCCTTCCCTCAGATTCCTTGGCACGCCCCCCTCCCCCCAGAGCCATATTGGCTGGATGGAGTGGTTCCAAGGGCCAGATCAAGGTCAGGGACTTTACAATATCTTTTACCTGCAGTGAGGTGATAGATATTAGAAAGCAGAGTAGTTCGTAATCTCTTCAATACTTTACAGACTCATAAGGACTTACGACACATAAAAACTAAGAATCAGTTAGGAGACTTAGACTTTCAGAATTTAGTAGACGCTAGTTTTAAAATTGATATATTTTTCATTGTGATAGAAAATGAACATTGAAAGTATAGTGGAATGGATGCTAGAACTTCATAAGAGGTTAGAGTTAGTGGTCTGTAGTTTTATTACACATTTTTTGGCAATAGCTGATTTGCCAAAAATGTTGTTTCAGTTGCCCTAAAATTATGAATTTGGATTTAATTTGGCAAATAATTTTGTTTAGAAGACTTTCGGGGGAAGAGAGGGAGAGAGACAGAGGAGCCTTTAACAAACTTGAGGTTTTTCTCTGTTGCCCATTATCGCATGGAATAGTTATTCCCAGGAGAGAGTCAAGAGGACTTACCCCTGAATATGCTACAGTTTAGTGGCCAGGTTTCCCCTACCTTCCAAGGGAGTGCCCTAGGTTCACATACACTTTCTGTCTTATTCAGGAAAGTATTTGAACAAGTCTCCCACCTCTCCATGTTGTAACCACTGAGCTGTAGATATTCTAGGGTGGTTTCCCCTCAAACTCTCCTATTAATGCTCTTCTGCTATATATATATGTGCTTGATGTAAACACACACGCATATATCGTTGAGAGAGAGAGATACTTGATGTATACAGATGTATAGCTGTATCTGTATACAGATATATTGTTATATATACGCTTGATGGTTATAGCACTCATCTGGCTTCAGCCACTGCTCAAGTGCATACTCACATATTTCATGCAAAGTGAAACAGCATCAATGGGAAATGTTGAGAACAAATCACTCCAGAATACCTTATATCCTGTTTTATCATTTGCCTGGAAGGTCAATGATACAGTTCAAATCAGAAAAAGGAGAAAATTACTACGACTGTTTACTAGTTAGTAAAGACCCTATTAAATTGCAAGAATTCTAAGGAGATTTATTTTATTTAACATTATTGACACTTAGTCTATGACTATATTAATAACTATGCCTACATTAATAATTATAGTAAATGTAGTAGATTTAAGATGCATATAAATTAAATAGAAATTGATGTCTGCCTGTCAAACGATTAAAAGGAAATTCCTCATTTTAAGGATTGTTTTATCACAGTGCTTTATTTGCACGTTTTTTATGATTGATTGAAAAATTATTTATAACACAAAACATAAAAATGGAGCTTCTAAGAATTTTTATATTTACAAATGTTTTATTTTTTGTTCTGCATTGGTTGCAGGAAACGTATATTTATATGCAACACTTTTTTTTTTTTTTTTTAAATACTAGTCTGGTGTGTTCCTGTAGTACTGCTGGATATTGATAAATTATGAAAAGCAATGTTTGTAAAAGTATCAGGGAGGTTAAATTTAGCTGTTTCAAAATTCAGTACCACTACATTTTTATAGAATTCTTTATAACCATGTAAATGTTTTCCTTAACAGGTTTTTATAGCTGTAACACAGAAATTATGCCTGGTATAAATAACTGGACTCCTGAAATACAGGTAAAATTGCTCTTCACGTGCATACACACCACATACATGCGCGTGCACACTATACGATTATACTGTTGACAGTTTATACCATTATGCTGTTTTAGCAGATATAACTGAACACTACAGTGCAAGAATAAGTTTTGCCAAGTTTTAGCGTTGTTGAGTTTTGGAAAAAAATAGGCATCACATCAACTACATCAACAGAACTGTTTTAGAGCAGTGATCCCCAGCTAATTTGGTTCCACAGGCCAGTGCCAGAGTGTGGGACTGTCTCATCTGGCCTGCGGGGCTGGAATATGGTGACAGCAATATTAATTGCTGTGACTTAAAGCCACAGCAGCTGCCATGCCTCCAGCCACCAAATTTCTGGCCCTGCAGACAGGCCTGTGGCCAAGATGACACAGCTCCATGCTTTGGATCTGACTTGCAGGGCCCCCCACGTGTCTGGAAATTTAGAATCAGGAAAAGTAGGGGCAGCATTGATTGCCACAATTCCAGGTGCAGTTAATGCTGCCAACATTTGTCACACTGACAAATTTCTGGATTCATGGGGAGCCCCACAGGCCAAATGACATGTCTCCATGAGCCGGAGCCAGCCTACAAGCCCTCTCTTGGTCACCCCTGTCTTAGAAGGCCTGCCTAACTATATCTGTGCAACTCCTTTTTAAGGTAATAGTGTTGCATCAGTGTACATAAGTATTTATATTGGGGTTGTGAACTGGTGTATAAGATTGAGTTCAGATGGTAAGAACTTAGGTAGGCCTACAAAGGATGGAGGATGGGAGTCACCTCCAAGGAGGATTATTCTGCATTGTTCCGGTCCTGTAGGGAGCATACCAGGAAAGCCAAGGCTGCAACTGAACTCCAACTAGCTTTGAGCATCAAGGACAATAAAAAGTCCTCTTTCAGATATGTGGGGAGCCAGAGGAAAAGCAGGGGCAACATTGGACCCCTGCTGAACCAGATGGGGCAACTGACAACTGACACCCAGGAAAAAGCCAACCTATTAAATAGGTACTTTG